GGAGAAGGTTTTTCCTTGGCTCATATGCTTCTTCCATTTCTCTCTGAAGCCCTGTAAAAATATTATACAGGAGTTTAGAAGTCTATAATGCTTGCTTCCCTGTTCATGTTCTTTGCCCGCTCCTTCTACCAGCTATTCCTTAGTGGGGAGAAAACACAGGTCTTGATGATCTAGATGAGCATGGGGTGGTGATTGAAATGAAATAATGAAGATGAGTGAATAAGACAGCACCCTAGCTTCAGAAGCAGGCAAAGAAGGAGCAACAGTAGATGGGAAGATTTTTGATTTTGTGGCAGTTTTGGATGGAAAGAGAATGCCAGTGTGTGCACCTGATACATGTGTTGCTCCGTGTCATCTCAAAGTCAATAAACCACTTCTGTAGCAGCAAGTCTTTTATTAAAGATTATAAGCCTTAGTTGTCCGATCAAGACTAAGCCCTCTTCAAATAAATTGGTCAGTATCCTATTCAATATTTGTATTTGTGGAGCTCCATCTGTAGAGGCTGCTGCAGCAACATAACAAAATGTTGTGTTTGGTTTCACGCCTGGACACACAATGCAATCAGACTTTTACAACCAGCAATCACCCAGGCTGCCATGTTGGCTTTCAAAGTTGGAGTTTCACCAGTATAAATATTGGATACTGGTCCTTATATTACAACAGGGATAGCTCACAACAACACACTGTTGCTAGGAAAACCCATACCATCCCCCTCTCGCACCACAACCATGACAATGGCAGCTAAGCCCAGATGTAATTAACAATAATAATCATGTTCCGGCAAGTGAATAGAGAGTACTCAGAAGTGGTTGGCCCTTCCTTCTCCTGAGGATCCATGGGAATGTGCAGCTTGCCCAAGGCCACCCAGGCTGCTTCTACTCACAGTGGGGAACTGAACTCATTATCTCTGGCTCTGCAGAGATAACTAGCTATAGATGTCATTCTCTTTGCCAAATACTGTACAATGTTTCGGCACTTCAGACCAGGCTTTGCTACAAAACTAGGGATTCCGTGTAAGCATATATTTCTTATGCGTTGGCATAGGTACTGCTTCTACTCACAGTGGGGAACTGAACTCATTATCTCTGGCTCTGCAGAGATAACTAGCTATAGATGTCATTCTCTTTGCCAAATACAAAGTTTTGGCACTTCAGACTAGGCTTCGCTACAGAACTAGGGATCCCGTGTAAGCATTTACTTCTTATGCGTTGGTTTTGCATAGGTACAGCTTTTGTATTTCCCCTAAGTTTCAGTCTATCTCCCAGTTCATTTGGGAAGCTTTGCTAGACATCAGCATATGTACATGCCTTCTGCATTCCTTTGATACATGACTTTCTGGATCTCTTGCATATAAAGTGCTTCTCAATGCGAGCCAAACCACCACCACCAAAAGGGGTTATGGCTCATATCGAGAGGGTATCCGGGTAGAGCAGTCTTCATCTCATCAGACATTTGCATTCCCATGGTTAAAGAGGTGATGAAGGGGGAAGGAGAAATGTTCCCCTCAGTGCATGTCAGCTCCATGTCATTCAAAGCATGATGAGCAGTCTCATCAGACATTTGCATTCCCATGGTTAAAGAGGTGATGAAGGGGGAAGGAGAAATGTTCCCCTCGATGCATGTCAGCTCTATGTCATTCAAAGAATGATGAGCAGAGAGTTACAGTGTCCTAAACACATGTACCAGAAAGACCTCTGAGTTCCCTCAGAAGTTTCAATAAAGTGTAGATAAATAAAAGCAAGACATGATTTGCCTGAACATGTAGCTATTCCTACTGTGGCATGGTGCCTTGTTAATGATGAAGCATCCTTGAACAATTTCTAGAATCCCAACAAGACTCTGTAAATAAATCATGGCACTTGGGTACCGATTTCTTTGTTTATGTTCTTTCCAGCCCATCCCAGGCCAATTTACATAATAAAAGCAACCATACAATAAAACAGCGACCATTGATAGAAAGAGGATAAGGCAGTAACAGAAGCAGCCCAAAAATAAAATCCAAGGGAATGGACAAACTTTCTTTTAAGGCCTACAAAGAAAGGATCTGATGGTGGCAGGCAATTCAAATATATGGAACCACATCAGAAAAAGTCCTCTTGTTTTGTGTTCAACAAGCTATGTATACTTGATGCCAGGCAAGTGAGAACAGATTCTAGATGAGTTTGGATTAAGCCAATTGAAATGAAGGTAATTCTTCAACAAACCCTGTGTTATAAGGCCCACATAAATATCAGCTGGTGTGCGTGTGCATTTGTGCATGTGTGTGTCAATGACCTTATAGGCCCCTTCCTACTCCATGATTCTATGATTCTAGGGTTTCTAGAAGCCAGATCTCAGCCCTCTGCCTCTGAGCCATTCATCCTCTAGTTCTTTTGTCAAGCCTAGAAATGTAAATTGTGTCTCAGGGGTGTGATCTCATTCAAGGGTGCCAGGAGTCCTTTGTGGGGACTCTTCATTACGACTTTTTATAGAGTACTGTGTGCAGAAAGCTTCTTATGGCCCACAGAGAGTACAAAGGCACAGAGGGTTTGTGTGTGTGTGGGATATTATCAGATAGATAAAGTGGGCTTCTGAGACCAATAATTATCAATCTGCCCTAATGGCAGATCAAGGGAGGGGGGAGAAGAGAAATGTTTTCACTTTTTAAAATAATTTGGTGCCATCTAGTGGAGAAAGAAAAACGCTTAAAACTGTGATAGCATACATTCATAACAAATGTATTTACAATCGCTTTTTTGGTCATGAGTATACTGAAAAAATAATAGTCATCAGACAGTCACATATTATCATATGATGTAGGCAGGCCCAGAACTTGAAAGCATGATGTTTTCCGACAACCTCCAGAATCCCTCTCTTGTGTGCCCAGTGGTCATGCTCTCTAGAGCATTGTGACAGTTACAGTACAAAAATATATATAATTCTTCCAAGCTCTGGGGGATGGGATTTGAAGCTCTGTGCCTTCTGATACCTGTAGTCCAAAAAAGCAACATTTCTGAATTCTGGGGCCATCATGTCACCTCCAACTTATGGTGATCCTATGAATGAGTGGTCTCAATGTCCCGCTCTCAACAGCCCTGCTCAGCTCTTGCCAGTTTATGGTTCCTTTAGGGAGTCAGTCCATTGTGGCTTTGAAATTCCTATTTTCCTGTTGCCTTCAACCTTTCCCATCATTACCGTCTTATCCGGACAATCCTGCCTTCTCATGATGTACCCAAAGTAGGACAAGTTTCAACATTTCTGCTTCCAGAGATAATTCAGGCTTGATTTGATCTTGGACCCACTTGTTTGACTTTCTGGCAATCCAGGGTATCTATAAAACTTTCCTCCAGCACCACATTTCAAGCAAAACATTTTTACCTGTCAGATTTCTTAACTGTCCAGCTTTCACACACCCATACGCCATGATCAGAAATACAAAAGTGTGGACGATCTTGGTCCCCAGTGACACATCCTTATACTTCTTGATATTTTCTAATGTCTAAAACTGCTGCCCTTCCTAGTCTCAATCTTCTTCCAATTTCTTGGCTGCAATCTCCATTTGGAAACCTCTCTTTCAATTTCTTCTCTGTCAATGCTAAAGTTATACAGTTCTTGTGCAGGCATAATGTTTGTCTTCTTAACATTAACTGCAATTCTGCTTTGGCATTACATGTCACTATGATGGAACCCTACACAGTTCTCTACTCAACTTTCCCCTCATAAATATAATGCAAGGGTTGGAAGGTGCACAGGAGGAGAGATGGAAATGAAAGACCAAGTTATTTATAGTAAGCATCATGTATTATTTTTATATTCCAAAGGTTTAAAGTTACACCTGTTTGTGTGTTGGACTAAAGAAAGTAAGTTTTCAAAGACAATAACAATGTGAATTCTGGACTGTAGACGTAAAGAGACTTTGTGGGATATTTCTGCAATCAGCTCCTGCAAGGATGCCTTTCTGATACATATGGATAAATAGAACTATCTGCAGAGTTATGAAAAAGGAATAACTTTTAGCAACAAATTGCCATAAATTAGATTGTCAAGGCGTTGATTTCCCTCTGCCTCAGTTACTTCCACAGTAGCATCCATTCCAGGAACACAAAGTTCATCCAAAAGAACCACTGCAGGAAGGGATAGAAAGGGAGCTGTGAAGAGCTGGTGTACGCGAGATTGATCATAGGAACACCGAGAGCTAATTTATATTGAGTCGGACCATTTGTACATCTTGCCCAATCTTCTCAACACTGACTGGCAACAGCTCTACGGGTTTTTTAGGAAGGAGTTTCTGAATTCCTTGCTAGAGAGTCTGGGAGTTGAAGTTAGGACCTTCTGAAATCAAAGCCTTAATAAGTTTGTTTGTTTATACTGTATACTGTACTGCCTTTCTCCCTGTGTAAGGGAGTCAAGATGGTTTAAGACACAGGGTTTAAAGCAAGAGTATAAGACATAATATATAAATAATTTAAAGTGACTAAACAAACAAGAGTTGAATCCTATTAAAATATTGGCTGAAATCCATTAGTAAAGGCTTGTCTGTGTGGGCTAAACTGGGTTACTAAAGGTCAGGTAGAGGTGTGATATGCCATTCCATCCAAATGGCATATGCACCTCAAGCCACTCTGTTTGGTCCAGCTCTTCCTTCTTTCAATTCCTGTATCATGAAGTGGCTTAAGAAGATTGAAATTGAAAACTTCCACTCAGAAGTGAGAGAAAACAAGAAGAGGATTTTATTTATTTATTTATTTATTTATTTATTTATTTATTTATTTAGACCACATCTACTCTGGGCGGCTTACAACAGGAATATCGTAAAACAATTGAAAACAACAATTTAAATCAGTTTTATTAGTATCCTTCAAGTTGATCAGTAATATTAGTATCATTCAAGATGGAAAAAGTATAGACGGAAATTAACACAGAAAAGTAAAAATCAAGTATTGATTTTTCAAGAAAAGAAAGAAAGAAATCAAGAAAAGAAATCTTGTGGGTTTTTCGGGCTCTTTGGCCGTGTTCTGAAGGTTGTTCTTCCTGATGTTTCACCAGTCTCTGTGGCCGTCATCTTCAGAGGACTGGAGTAGGAACCAGGAGAGATCTCTCTTAATTCTTTGTTATCAAATCTGTTTTTATGAAAACACTTCATATATGCTGATTGCCAGTAAAACAGTTAGAATATTGTTAAAGGCTACAGAGCAACCCTTTCAATATGTGTGAATGTTCACATTACAGAAGGATGTTCACAACAACTGAAACAGAGTGGGACTGTGCATGTGTTACAGAAGCCATATTATTCCATTGCAAACAAAATAATATGGAGCATTCTATGGTTGCTGTTGGATTTTGATGATGCAGAACAATTGATTTCCCATGGCATGATAAATACTAGACATTCCTACATAAACAAACCAGTGCATGTATTTTCAAATTTGAGCTTGACCATATTACCTGGATGATTTTGTAAACACACCAAACATGTTCTTTATGTGCAGTGTGGGTAGAATCTCCTCAGGGCTCCATAGCATAGTTTTGTTCTTTTTCCTTCCTTCGGGTGGTTCCTAACACATTAAAATCATTTAGGGGGAGAATTTTTATGACATTTCACATTTTCTCTGCATTTGAAACAATAAGCAAGTTCAAACATGTTTATAAGTAATCTGGCCGTTCTCACCAGATTACACATAAACATGTCCTAAACTCAAACATGGGTTGGGGGGAAAGGACATGTTGTGGAACTCCTCCCCCTAATTTGTTGTTTAGTCATTAAGTTGTGTCTGAATCTTCATGACTCCATGGACCAGAGCACGCCAGGCCCTCCTGTCTTCCACTGCCTCCCAGAGTTTGGCCAAATTTAGGTTGGTAACTTCAGTGACACTGTCCAACCATCTCGACCTCCCCCAATACTTTACAATAAATACCAGAAAATAGATAAAACCCTGTCCCTAGCTAAAACCAAATTTAAATCTGAACGAGAGGCCTTTTATGATTTATGAAGAGCATGTAACAAAGCTTTTAAATATCTTCTACCAATGTGTACTTTCAAATTACTTTTGTCCAGTAATAAACAGGTCACCACAACATGAAAACCTGGTATTTGAAGCGTTCAAATGCAAGACTGTAAGTAAGGTAATTTTAAAACTCAAACACAAGAAATTGTGAAATAAACCCCACTGAACTATATTCTTATAGGTTAAAGTCCATGGGGTATTTAAGCAATTTCAAAAGATAAGAAACATTGCTGTCAGCCTGCAGCTGAAATATAATGAATGCATTATTAGGTAAGTGGGATATAAAGCTAAACCCAATAATCACAACCATTTTCCAAGAGAAACCCAACTATATGGAATCAGGGATAACATTTTTTGGGTTAATCTATTTGGGTTAGTATTTTCTTACATATCAATTTTAACATCTGTAAAATATTTTGCAAATATTAAAAGTGGAATATAAGTTCAACATCAATAAATTCTAGCATGTCCTTAGAATAATCTTTCCAGATAAACCATTTTTTTCCCTAATTGATGCATAATTTGAGGCTGGTTGGTTATTTATTTAGACTGGCTGGACTGCTCAGTGGTTTAGGTGTGAGTTCAATTCCCCAGTGTGCCTCTTGCAAGTAGAGCCATCCTGTGTGGCCCTGGGCGAGCTGCACGCAGTCCGAGAAGCGGCCCTAGAAGAAGGGAATGGCAAACGGCTTCCGAGAACCGTCTACCTGGAAAACCCTGAAAAGTTTGCCATCAGTCAAAATTGACTTGACAGCACATGATTTATTGGTTTTTTATTTTTGAACTTTCTGTAGACTGGGAAATAAAAACCAATGCTTTCTTTTTTGAAATTCTGCTGTTTCTCTAGTGGCTTCAATCCACACTCTAGTTGCAAACAAGACCAATGCAATGTTCAACAGTCACAAAGCACATTTTTCCATCCTGTGTGGCCCTGGGCGAGCTGCACACAGTCCCAGAAGTGGCCCTAGAAGAAGGGAATGGCAAATGGCTTCCGAGAACCCTCTACCTGGAAAACCCTGAAAAGTTTGCCATCAGGCATGCAAATGCGAGTAGATAAATAGGTACCATCTCGGTGGGAAGGTAAACAGCGTTCCGTGTCTAAATCACATTGGCCATGTGACCACGGAAAGATTGTCTTCGGACAAAACGCTGGCTCTATGGCTTGAAGAGCGGGATGAGCGCCGCCCCCTAGAGTCGGACACGACTGGACAAAAATTGTCAAGGGGAACCTTTACCTTTACCTTTTTTAGGACTGTTGTAGAAAGAAAACATTACAAATGTTCCTCCATAGATTTAATGCATGCTGTTCAAATTTAAAGGGGAAATACAACATTAGCCCAGTTTGGTTTGTGACTAGCACAACCCCTTTAAAAGTTTGGGGTAAAATCTATTCCCCCAAAACTCCATCCACAACCTGGCTGTTATTGTTATTATGTGCCATCAATATTTTTCAAAGTTATGACTACCTTAATAGGGTTTCTTAGGTGTGTAAGGTGTTTAAGGAGCCCTTGGTGTATTTCCGTGGCCAAGCAGACATTTGAATCCAGATCTTTGACTCCTAGTCCAGCTTTCACGACCCAGCTAATTGCAATAAATGTTGTATCTTCTCTCTTAAAAGCAGACCAAATTCCATTTTAAATAGAAAGTCGTGAGGCCCTGGCTATTTAGGTAATCTACACAAATATAAGTGTAGGTTTTGGCCTTTCTGCCGGGCAAACTGAATTGCACCAGGTGTAGCGCCTCATCGTCACCATCTGTTTAGTCATTTAGTCTGTCCGACTCTTCGTGACCCCATGGACCAGAGCACACCAGGCCCTCCTGTCTTCCACTGCCTCCCAGAGTTGGGTCAAATTCATGTTGGTTGCTTTGATGACCCTGTCCAACCATCTCATCCTCTGTCGTCCCCTTCTCCTCTTGCCTTCACACTTTCCCAACATCAAGGTCTTCTCCAAAGAGTCTTCTCTTCTCATGAGATGGCCAAAGTACTGGAGCCTCAGCTTCAGGATCTGTCCTTCCAGTGAGCCCTCAGGGGTGATTTCCTTCAAAATTGATAGGTTTGTTCTCCTTGCAGTCCAGGGGACTCTCAAGAATCTCCTCCAGCACCACAATTCAAAAGCATCAATTCTTTGGCGGTCAGCCTTCTTTATGGTCCAGGTTTCATAAAGAAGGTTGATCTTGCGTCAGAAAGGTTGATCTCCCCACTAAGAAAAGCTCTACCAGTTGATTTCCTGCCATAGGGACGAAGGGGGCAGCCAGCCTTCTTTATGGTCCAGCTTTCATAAAGAAGGTTGATCTTCTTGCATCAGACTGCTAAGAAAAGCTCTACCAGTTGATCTCCTGCCACAGAGACGAAGGAGAAGGAGGAAAAGGAAGGAAGAACAGGTCTTAGTGGGCGAGTGGTCAGATCCCCCTTAAGATGGAATCGTATAGGACAATAATGACCATTCCATAGAAGAAATGCCAGCGAATTCTCAGGCAAAGATGTAGCAACATATATTGTATACTCTCCAAATCATGTAGCTGGGAAGCCCACGAGTCATCCGATATGAATGCGAATTCCACATCGTTCCCAAGGCAGCAGACTGGAGATGGGCGTTCTGGGTCTTCCCACCTCCCATTCCTGCCTTTTTTAAACAAATGAGGCAGGCAGACGCGATCTCCACTTCAAGTAAGCCACGCAGGAGAGACTCCGAGCGCCCGGCAGTGTCGCGATCAAGAGCCCCGAGGTGATGCTTGGAAATCCACCGAGCGTTGCAACCTGCGCGCTGCGGCCGTCTCTCTACCCCATGGCGCCAGCCCAAGACAATTTGCCGCCTGAGGCAGAGCAGCAAGCGGTCCCCCTTCCCCCTCCCCCTTTACATTCATCTGAGCAAAGGAGAGCAGTACCCCAAAACCAGCTAAGCTTTTGGGGGACCGAGGAGGAGCCAGAAAATCCTCAACGTCCTTCCATTTCTGGCAGGAAACAATAAAGCGAAGAGCAACACATTAAATCGCTACCGATTTGCTGCTCTTTCGTGACACGCCGAATCTCTACCTAATGGTAGGGCCGGACAGTCGGCCGGCCCTCCCCTTTATCTTTTAGCGTCACGAAACCGGGAGAACGGAGAACCATAAAATTACTCCCTGCAATTTGGTTCCAAGTTTGGGTATCAAACCGTATGATTAGATCAGAAGCAGCAAGGTAAACATAACGCGTATCCAACAATGCAATTCTGGCCACTGCCGCTCAGAAACCGCTCCGCCCGGAATTTACTCCCAGGTAAGTGGCACTGTAGTCGATTCTACGAGCCCCGATCCTGCTGCGCTTTCCTTATTATGGGTACGCACAGCTTTTCCCTTTCGCCACCAAAGAAACGCGCACTCCCGAAGCCTTTCTCAATTTAGAGCCCATCCCTCCCCGAACAGCTGGACTACAACTCCCATTAGCCTGCTGGGCAAAGTGTGGACGAGGGAATTGTTGTCCAGCCTCTGAGGAGGACTCCCGGTTGGTGAAGGCTTCGAGAGCATCCCACGGCCACAGGAAACACGGCTGGGTTAATTCGATTTCGCTCTTTTTCCTTTGGACTTCTCTGGTTCACTATTGTTCAGCACCTGGTCCCGGATCACAGTGGGTCGAACCCCATCTCTTGTGGGCCCTTTTCCGGCACGATTTTTGGTCTCAACCCAATACGTGGGGCAGAATACAGTATTTTTTTTCAGATCTCCTTCTGAACAGAAAGACCATCTTCAGTGGCGTTTGGGAAGGCGAGGTCTTCACACTTGCAACCAACTCCAAAAGACAATCTCCTCTACTCAGAAACAATCCTAGTGACTTCAAGTGGAAAGTGCCATTGAACGATTCGGGCTTCTGGATGAGGATCCAGTTTGTTATTCTAGGGGACCAGATCCTGGCATCATCCAGTGCCCATAAAGTCCCGAGCTTCATATACTTTTAGAGTTTCTGCATCTAGGAATTCAGCGCCCAGATTTGGGGACCTCGTGTCTTTTTTCGTCCGTTACATTTAGGAAACAGGACGTATAGGTTCTAATATAGCCGGGATACATTACGACCCACTAGATCTGATGCCGACCTTTAGAAGCACATAGTGAAGTTTTCCCGAGGGAAACAAATTGCTTAGTTACATTGAGGTCCTACAAGCGCACACGATCCAAGGGAGAAGGGCTTCACTTTTCAGTATTTCTATGTAAGTAGCGTGATAAAACCTACACCGTGCGCGGGATCAGGCTGAAAAAATCGCTCCCATCCCACACGTTGTGACTCGGGAGTAAGCCCCACTGACCTACTTCCGAATTATACAAGCACACGAAGTCCCAAATAACTCAAATGAGTTGTATCGCCAAGCAACGGGGGTGGAGCTCCATCCTATCCAAGCGGGAACGCGACTTGCTCCCGAGTAAAACCCCATCTCAGCCTCAGCATGTTTAGTACTATAAAATCCAGGTGCATAGTTCAGAAGCAATCAATCGTAACTGAGCCATTGCCGCTGAATACCTGAGCTCCCTCTTTAACTCCTACCCGGGCAAAACTTAAAAACTCAGCCATTCCACGACGCTAAAGTTAAGCGCGTAAAAATGCAAGAAGGCGTCCAGACACACGAAGGAAAAAAAACACGCGTGGAAAGCGGAAAAGAAGCCCACCCGACTGTTTAAATAATAAATACAAGGTGGCTGTGTTCTCAGGGAAGCCTCGGCTTCGGGCGTGGGGGGGGTGCGTGGGTGGAGACACTCGCAGCCGGATTTTCACGTCGGGAAAAACTTTCTCCCAAATCCAGGGTCCCTCGCAAAAAAGAGCTGCGGGTTGTATCGTATGCAAATACGCAAGCTGACGTAAGAGATCATGTGGGTTTTGGCGTAGATCGCCGCCACCGATCGGAGAGATTTCCCCCCACCACCACAATATTATTTTTTAAGGGGGAAAAAAACTGTTATTTATTTATTTTGGGGGGAGTGTTTTGGATTCTTATAGGGGTTTCTGTTTTGGTGGGGGGTTTTTTGGTACAAATCTAGGACGTGCCCATGTTTTTGGAAAACCAGAGGCCCTGTTCTGGTTGCTGCACCACCAGAGAGAGAGAGAGAGAGAGAGAGAGATTTTAGAGGGAGGAAAGCAGCAAAATAAATAAATAAATAAATAAAAGGCAAGCCAGCAAGCACCAGCACCTTTGATCGGAAAAAGGAAGTGGGGATTGCTTCCCAAAACAAGCCTCGCTCTTCCGTTTTGCCACATGGACTTTCGGAGCTCTAGTAAGGCTTTTTTTAGGCGACCCGGGCAAGCCACTTCGACCTAAACTTTTAATTTCCCTCCCCAGAAAAAAATCTCCTTTAAAAAATAATAATCCCTCGAGCTGAATTTTAGAGGGAGAGGATAGAAGGGAGAGCGGGGTGGGAGGGGCGTTTAAAGAGGGGGGGGAATCCCAAAGAAGGTGGTAAGCCAGAGGAATGTAATAAAAGCGGATTTTTTTTAAAAAAAAAACAAGCATTGGAGTAGATTTCTTTGGAGGGGGGGCGATCAATGCATCCTCCTTGTCGTCTTCAGATCGAACGGATCGAAGAGTTTGTTTGGGGGGGGTTGTGTGTGTGTGTGTGTGCTTTTTTGGAGGGGGGGAGAAAGAGGGCTGCATGCGGAGGCAAAAAAAGGAAGAGGCGATGGTCTCCTTATTTTTGAAAAAAAAAATGTCTACGTTTCTGTGTGTCGACATCAGCCACACAAAATATGGCGTCCGCTTTCGAGAGGGCGTTACGTAGAGGCGAGGAAGGCGATCGTGGAAAGAAAGCCGAGCTTGGAGTTGAAGGGGGGGGGGTCGAGAAGAACCCTCCCCCCCCCCATTTACGGTATATATATATTTAAAATACTGCAAAGTCGAGAGGGGTTACAGCGAAGAAGCGTGGGTCCCAACACCTCCTGGAACACGAGGCCAGAGTAAAAAAAAAATAATGGGGGGGGCGCGAAAAAACAACAACAATCCTGTAGGCTTTTAAGTTGGCACGGATTTCGGCTTGGATCCCACCCCCAACCCACCAAGGATTTGTCCTTAATGTGGCATGCAGGATACTGCAAAGTCGAGAGGGGTTACAGCGAAGAAGCGTGGGTCCCAACACCTCCTGGAACACGAGGCCAGAGTAAAAAAAAAATAATGGGGGGGGCGCGAAAAAACAACAACAATCCTGTAGGCGTTTAAGTTGGCACGGATTTCGGCTTGGATCCCACCCCCAACCCACCAAGGATTTGTCCTTAATGTGGCATGCAAGCACCATGACGCGTTAGGTTGCAGTCTTACCCCCCCCTCCCCAAACACACAAACGGCTGCAGAGAGCGAGCCACTAACGCCACTGAATAAGAAATAATACTCTAAAATCATCCTTTAGACTAGAGGAGCATCGTTTTTTAAAAAAACTGCTTCATCCATTTCTCCCTTCCAATATCTATTCTGCACCCTCCCCTGAGGGATATTGGGGTGGGGGGGAGGCTGCTGGAGACACAGTCCTTTCTCTTCTGGTGCATCTCCTTTAAAATTCGCATTTAAAAATATTGCCAAACTCTTGCTACACGCCCACACCCCCATTGGGAAAAAAAATAAATAAGAGGAGGTTACCCCTAAGCGTTGTTGGTTTCACTTCTGTTTTGATCCTGTTCCAAAGATCTCCATGATTGGAAAATTCTTAAAATATATGTTCTGGTCATTCCATCGTCTTTGGAAAGGACTTCCAGGTTAAGAGGTTTCCTCTCTCTTTTTGCAATCAGTGACATTTTATTCGCCTTTCTCAGCTTCTCTTGCACTGGACTAGGGAGAGAGAGAGAGAGAGAAAGTAACAAGATTTAGAACACCACCAGCCTCAGTGATATAGAGAGAGGGAAGATTTGATTTTCAAGGAAGTGAAGTTGTGATTTGCTGAGCAGTTCCACCTGATTGATTGACTTCAAAGCCATGTGAGGTTCGGTGCCCTGTGCCGTTTCCTGATTGCCTTTTGTTTGCTTGGTGTGGGAATTCTATCTGCTGTACAGTTGGGTGGTTGGCAATTCTAGTTTTCATATTTTTTTTAAAGGCACATCACCCTTTTTTCCCCCTTGCTTAAGATTTCCAAGAGATCTTGGTGTGATCTCATGCTTCCATTTGTCAGTGCCTAAACTGTGTGTGAACAGCAGAAGGTATGTGGATTCTTGTGTGCAGTTGTGGGCATCCAACCCCTGAGCCCTTTTGCCATCTTAGAGGCATATTTCCCAAGTTTTGGTGGCCTCAGGTCCACTTCATCAGATGCCTGGAATATTACTCTCAGTTCCAGCTTGGAAGTTGCAAGACACCAACCTCTGTCGGGCCACACTTTTTACACCTGTTTTCTAAGCAATGAAATATGCATGTTTTCCATAGCTGAAGGTACAAAACTATGAATGCTTATTGGTTTCTCTCCTTTAGAATGTTTACTGCTCATTAAGATGCTGCCTCTTAAGGACCTGCAATATGTTTAGGAGCAGGCTGAGATATGAGTGTGATAAACCCTCTGTTATTTAATTATTTTGAGAAGCATGAAATATGAACAAAGCATCGCCTGAATGAATAAAAATGAGGTTAGATTTTTTAAAAATTGCTAGTGGGAAAAGTGAAATATCTTTGTTTGGTATAGAAAGGGTAACATAGTAAGTGCTTGGTAAGCCTGCATGGGGAGGACATTCCACAGCCTGGGAGCCACCACTGAAAAGGCTTGATCTCCAGTATCATTTGTCTTGATTTCCAAAGAAGGAAACGTCCAAAGAAACAACTCGGATCTAGATTATAGCAGATGGCTGCTGAATGTCCTCCCTTCCAAAGGAAAATAGATTCTCACCCCACCCTGTTACCTTCTGCTTGCAGCTGAAAGACCTTTCTCTTCAGTCTGTCTTTTTAGCAGTTGGCTGGCTGCAGAGAAAAGAGCATTTATTTTGGATTTTTGCATTTTTTTTAATGTTGCATCCCTCCCCCCCCCCCAGTTATGTTATTGAATGGTCTTTAAATCACTGTAACTCCACTGTGGTTTTAATACGATGTTCTGTTTAATTGTGTTTTAGCATTCCAACTTAATTGTGTTTCTGCTGGTGCCTGGGGTATTTTTAAGTGATGCTGTGAGCTGTCTTGAGTCTCAGTATTGGGAGGAAGGCAGGATGAGGAGTAATTAAGAAATTTAAATGTGTACACATAGACACATACAGATATGGAAGAATGGAGGTAGAATGATTCATGAAATATGAAAAGTGTTCTGTGTCTGTTTAATTGAAGCCTAGCAGATGTGAAATAAGTGTGGTGACTTTTTGGAAGAGTGGTCATTAAGGGAGGGCCCATCACCCTATGGTAAGAATGTGGTAGAATAGAAGGTGCTAGATTCAAACTCAGTTTTGACGGTATTGAAGTATGTAGATGTACCAAGAGTTTGACTTGGAAACAGGAGTTCCTCCTTAGGTTCTTACATCAGGAACTAGTGATCATAAATCCTTATAAATTTGCGATGGTGATCAACACTAGTAGGAAAGTCAGAAGTGACGAAATAAGGGAGATAAAAAATCTATAAAGAAAATGGTGCAAGAGATAATACATGATGGACATACAGATGAGATGTAATAATTACCACCAACATAACTTTTGAGTGATCAAAACTCTGATGTCTGAATAAATAGCAGTTTTGCTGTTATTTTGAAAAACTATTAAATACATATTACATGCCCTCAAATCAGAAGTGACTTGGGAGCCAGTCCCTCTCAATTTGGCCACAATAGAGCAAGCCACAACAAAAAGGCATTACAGCCTAATGATTTATCTCAATACATTTCCCCCGTTTTGTTCAGATGTGGGGTGGGCAAAGGGCAACTTTCTCTGGTGATCTGCCTTTCCAGATGTTGTTAGATGGAAAACCCCAACATTCTTCAGTATAGACTGTACTCGCCAGTGGCCAGCGTTGATGATAGTTGCACTGAGCAACATCTGGAAGGTTATGCTCTGCCCACCCCTGCTTTAGATATTGGTGCAAAGCAGCCATATTTCCTCCTGTCCATTTGGTGGTCTCACTGGGACAGTTAATTAACCCTCTCCCCAACTGTATCAATGAAAATTACTACTCCCTCCCCTGCACACTGGCTGTACTTTTAAGCCCCATTGGAGAAAACATATGGATGCCCATACATTTTGTTTAATGGGACAAAAAAAACTTGAGAAGGGATGCGGCAACTAAATTGTGGAAATTTTAAATGCCTTGTCCCGTTCCTCCTGCACTGTAGTCTCAACTAGGAAACGCATGTGGTTTTGGTATTTTACTAATCTAATGCACTCTTGGTGTTAGATTTTGTACAAGACCAGTGGCTTTTCCTGTTTGCTTTTGCGAATTTGCCTTGCAGCCTCAATGACTACATTTGTCCCAAATTTCCTATGATTCAGCTGTTATATACACACCCATAAATTTGTTGTTGTCTAACGGCAACATTGGCAGATTAGGAATAGAGGACTAAAACTCCCGGAAGCCTTTTCACCACTAGCTGTGTTGGCGAAGATTTCTGGGAGTTGTAGTCTAAGAACATTTGAGAATCCAAGGCTGGGAACTTGTGTAACTAGAGGGTTGATCTGGAACCACTGTTCTATTACATACTATATGTCAGTTGGCTTATTTAGTACCTCGATGTTATTATGCAACTGCTTGGGAAACAGTCATTAATAATGTACTCTCGTTAATTTTGATAATGCACTTACTAACATTATCAGAAGTATTTACGTCATTGTCAGTAGTTCCCAGGTTTCATTGATCTCAATCTCACGAGTTATAATTCCACCTAACCCTGTGTACTGCATATGTAGCTAAGATGTTAGATTAGACTTCATGGATCCAGTGAAATGGGCTATAGCTCACAACAGTTAATGCTATAATGACTAAAATGATATTGCACAGACTCCCTTGAAAAGGCCCTGATGTTGGGAAAGTGTGAAGGCAAGAGGAGAACGAGATGACTGGACTGTGTCATCAAAACGACCAACACAAATTTGACCCAACTCCGGGAGGCAGTGGAAGGCAGGAGGGCCTGGCGTGCTCTGGTCCATGGGGTCACGAAGAGTCGGGTCACGAAGAGTCGGACACGACTTAACGACTAGACAAAAAACAACATATTGGGCATGCACAGCACAATCCCAAAATCACATAACTCATCTTCCAGCATCTTGTTGTTCTCCAGTTCTCTTTCTAACCAGTTGGCTGTTCTTTTTCATGTCAGCTCATATCAGTGTTTGTGTAAGGTTTTCCATACCTAATTGTGGTTTATTCAGGTACCTGAGCATGTCTCAGCCAAGTAAACCCATGCTACGTTTATATATACAGTGTATGGATCACCTGAAGCATGAGTGGCTGATGGGCTTGTATATCCTGTTATTTGCAAGGTCCTGGGTTAACTCAATGGTCTCAGAGCATTATCAGAAGGAAGGAATGGCAAAACCACTTCTGAGTATTCATACCTAATATGGGAGGGTTATCCTAAATTGGAAACAACATGGTAGCACATAGCTATTACCAATAAGTTGTAAATGAAACCTGTTTTATATTGCTAAATGAATAATACATTAAAACAAGTGTGGTTTTAAAAAAAATCTAAGCTTCATATATTTCTAAAAATTCCTCTTTTTTCCCTGACGAGAGAACTTGTTTCTCTCCGCGACTTCAATGTTTCTGGAAATTTTACACGTCCAGTCAAATTCCAAGCAGATGTTTGTTTAAAGGGGGCAATTTCCAACAGAGGAATCTGTAATTTCGAGCAGGGATTTGACCACTGAGTTCAGTGGGCTGACTTCCAAATAACAGTGCATAGGGGACAGATAATGGGTGGGGGGAATACATTTCATCAAAGTTAGTTGACAGTTCTGAGTTGAATCAGGAAGGGGCCTTACTGTCGTTTTACGACATATGTAAAACTCCGGTTTCTAGAGGCCTAGCTGTCTCCATCTGTTGCAAATAAAAGCAGTAAAAGTCTTATGGACTGTAAATATCATTATGAGTCCACTTTGTCAGATACCTGAGGCGAGGTCCTAAATTTGCAAGCAGAGAGCAGTTCTTATAATAATATCTATGTATTTTAAGGGATGTTGGTGTCCAGTTCTTGCTTGGTATGTGAAGATTTAGTAAACCTTGCTCTGGCCTAGTTAAGTTTGTGGGGTTTTTTTAAAAAAAGTTCTGCCAAGTTTGCAATTCATTGTCTGTGTCTTCTTTTTGTGTGTGTGTGTCATTTTATCCAGTTTTGTGTTTTCTGCAAAAATCACAGAGCTCCCAGAAATCAATTAAAAATATAAAGCTGCTGGGTAAGGCAAAAATGCAATTTAGGTCAGCTGTATCCATTTGGGAAAAGCAACGGCTTTGCATGAAGCCCTGGAAGTTACATTTTAGTGAATTGAATCCTGGATCTCTGCCGGGCAGTATGTCTCCTACGACTGATTTGAGTCTCGCTTCATTCTTTGAAAGGAGATATTTTGCAGTTTGGAAATGTATTTTTAAGAAGAATCAACCTGATGAGATGCTGAAAGCTATGCATAAGTGAACACTGGTAAGAGAAGGCACTAGGTCTCAAAAACATCACCCTTCCATTGCTCGGTTGCAGATAGCTTTCTCATATTTATATATTCACTCATCTTAAGAGTTTCCCTGCTTTGCTGCCTTTAATTGTAGGTTAAAGCGAATGGAACTTGGTGTAATTCTTCATGCAACATGTGTCCTGTATAACTAACTTATTGGGAGCCTAGACTAGCTTTTCCAAACCTGAGAACCTTTCAGATATTTGGACTACAGCTCCTGTCACTCACAACTAGAGATGGGGGTATTCCTATACGACGTCTGATGGGGGTATTCCTATACGAATATCCCCCGCACAGCTGGACGTCCACTCATGTGTCCTCTGCTGCCTCCAGCTCCACTGTGTCTTCCAATTGCTCTGGAGCTTGCAATCGGCTAGCCACTCCTGGCAGGAGGAGGGAAGACCAGTCTCCCTGCCAGGGTGACAAGTGGATAGCCGTATCTAGTGGCCACATCTAGAAATGTATGTGAAAATAATTTTTCTTGTTTTTTTCCTTTTACCAGGCAATGTGTGTGTGTGTGTGTGTGTTGATTTTTATCCATTCTAGCCATATCGTGTGTGTGTGTGTGTGTGTGTGTGTGTGTGTGCGTGCGTGCGTGCGTGCGTGCGTGCGTGCGTGCTGATTTTTATCCATTCAGTTTACACACACACACACACACAAATCATGGATAATAGCAAACACATATACATATACGTGTGCGTGCTTGCTTGCTTGCTATTATCCATGATTTTCAGTACCTGGGGGGACTTGGAACCAATCCTCGGCAGATATGGGGGTCCTACTGTATTCATTATTATTGATTGCTCCATCTTCCATTAATTTATTCACTTCCATCTCAAAAAACAATTTTTGCTTAAAGTTTTTTCTGTTTTAGACTACAACTCACTAGCATCAGTTATATGTTGTTGTTATTGTGTGCTGTCAAGTTGGAACCGACTTAGAGGAATCCTAATAGGGCTTATTACTCCACACTGGATATCCAAGCCTTTCCTGACAATGGTGAGATACGAACTCACACACCCCAAAGAGACTGGAGATACAATCCATTGCCTTTAGACAGTTTGGCCATTAGTTGTGTATGGCCGAATGTAATTACAGTACAAGACTTTGTGGGCTTGAAACCTTGATTTGTAGTCTTGCTGCAAAGTTACTAAAACTGGCATCCAATTGGTGTCTGAACTTGTTTGGTTCCAGGCCAGCAACATGATGATGCTGGGGTAGCTGGTGTTTTACAAGGAAACAGCTTAGATTTGTTTTTAGTGATCCCAGTGTAATGACCTCAATAGGTACCCAGACCTCTACTATTACATGCATATTTTTCCTTCTGCAAAACCCAACTTTCCAATCCAGTTTTTAAGGGCAGCACGGTTCGTAATCAGATTATTGGGTGGCATTTACCTTTTCTTGATGCTGTACCCTTGATGAAAATATACAAACACATGGTCTGAAGTTAAAGAAGCTACGATTTGGAAATGCATTTCAGAGCTGGTTAGTTCTTTGCCAGGGCGAGCTGATTAGGTTGCTTAGTTTGTTTGCTTGTTTTACAACTTCACTCTTTCTTTCTTCCAACCCTAAAGCCACCAGCTTTTTGTTTGTTTCTAAATGGTTATTGCCTTGGACAGTCTTAAGATTACTTCTTGACCACTGGTATTTGTTAGTATCCAAATGCAGAGGTTTATTCTGTTTCCCCGCCACTGCAGATTGCATGGTGTGGATCTAATAGAGATCAGCGGCATGCTTGGGAGCTGGAAGCTTAAACTGGGTTTCTCACCTGTGTTTTTAGAATGGTGAGGAATGAACAGGTGAGGCTGCTTGGTCGTATTGTGCTGTTTTGGCTCTTCATTTTCAAAGCTGAGTTAGAAATGCTGACCCAGGTGAAGCTGACTAAAAATTAATTTCATGTGCTAGAAAACTTCTTGTTCTCTTTTTAATACAGTGGAGCTGAGCTTTCAAAAACCTTGATAAAAATATGGCATTTCAGCAGGTTTTTAATACTGATGAGCCTGGAGAAAATATCATAAAAGGGAGAAAGCCACAGACCGTTTTCCCCCAGTGGTGCTCTTCTCCCTGATAGAAAGTTCTTTGATCCAGTGGAAGAAGAACAACGAAAGAGAGGGTTATTTTTTTTTGTTCTCGATGGCTTTGTCCTCCCCCACCCTATAACCCTATATTCCTGAGGATTGTAGAATTCTTTGTGACCTTGGGCAACCTGTACAGTCCCAGGGCACACCGAAATTGACTTGACAGCATGTAGGGTGGATTAAAAAAAAATCAATGATTTCTAAAAGTCAAATTGATCTAAAACACAATTTAAATGTTTTTAAAAATGATTTTTAAAATTTAAATCACAAGCATCAAATCCATGCTCAGTTGCATAGAAGAAATAGATGTAACTGGGAGAAAAACATCCCCCTTTCATAAGATGGGAATGAGAAACATCAGACCCTAGAATTGATTCCAGCCCTCTGGGGAGTCTCCATGACGTTATCAGTTGATATTTTCCCACGTTCTACACAGGTGTTTCCACTCTAGAAGGGTAGAGTGTATCTCCTGGGGCCTAGCTGATGGCAGCAAGAGCATTAAGTAAAATATAAAATAAAGTTTTTTTCTTTCCTCCCATTTGTGCTTCACCCTGTCCACCACTAAGGCACATCCCTTAAACTTCTCAAAAATCAAATCAACTCCTATATCTGAAAAAAAAAAGTTTACCCATAAAGAACTGCTGGATAGATCAGTGGTTTAGGTCTCTGGCTGTGGAGCCAGAGGTTGGGGGTTCAATTCCCCTTCGGTGCCTCCTTGACAGGGGCTGGACCCGGTGGTCCATAAAGTCCCTTCCAACTCTGCAGTTCTGAGATTATTATCTTTGTCATAGACTAAAGGTTAAGGCTCCATGGCAGTGCATACGTACGCACCTGAGAGTCCGCTTCATTGAACATAGAGGGACCCACATTTCGTAAACATCCAGAAGGTTGTGGTGTAAGACACAATTCATGTTTTAACTCTGCAGGCAAAGACCTTTGTATTTTCCCCATTAGAAAGGCAAGTGCTGAAGTCAGACAGTGACGGGTCTCGGTATAAGCTGAAGTTTCAGGGAATTGCAATGTTTTTTCCAGATCTACAGGCAGGAAAGTAGATCGCAAGGTAAGCAATACTGAATAAAGAGAAAGTTTGATTTTTCAGGTGTAAGATGGCTTTAAAGCCTCGGCGCCTGCCTCTGTCCATTCCCAGCTGGTGAAGGGGTTTGTGTGTGTCCTCGCAATGAGACAATAGGCCGAAGCACTTATGACCACCAGCCCTCTCCCACGTCCCCTCTGCTTGCTTCTGGGGCTTTGGTGCACCAGCGTTTGGTCTCCTGTGCCATTTGGAGCAAGGTAAGAAATGGAGCACCAGCAGTGCAGCTCAGGAGCCTTCTTTGTTACACGTGACCTCTTCCTAACCCTTTCCTTTCTCGTCCTGAGTCATCATTACAAAGGTATTCTTCTGGTCTCCTCTTGAAATCTCGAAGAATGGAAAGCTGGTGGATTAGTAACCTTAGCTGTGAGTGACTGCCTGTTTTATAGCAAAGTCCTGGCAATCTGTTCCATGCCAACATGAATAGCTCTTTGAGTATTGTGTGTAGTCAAATTATCTGTACCATCTTACAAGCTGCGGTTCTACCTGCATGTACCACGTGTGACCATACATAAACACTTCCTTGCACATGAAAAAGCTATGTTGATGATGCAGTACAGCAGTATCCCCTTGTGGGTGAAAGAAGCCTGAGCTTGATGACGTGAGGCAACAAAGAGAAGGGATTTATTTTTTTCAAGTCAGTGCTCACAGCATTTGTTTTTCTGCATTCACAGCAAGTGGTGCTGTTTGTTTAGTAAGAAGTGGTTGCTCCCCCTTATGCTTATAGTTAGACAAGCACAAGAATCAAGCAACACTTAAACAGACTTTGGGGATAGACAAGCTGCAGTGGCTTTTGTTTTGCTTTCTTTTCTGGTGGTCTCTCTTTTACTATTTATTTAGTGCTTTTATACACTTTATTTTTTTAAAAAAATCATAGCAACCTTGTAAGATAGGTTGGGTTGAAAGATTGTAGGTAACACAAAGACACCTGTTGAGCTTCAGGGCCAGGAGAGGGATTTGATCCCAGGTCTCTCCTGAGTCCTATTCCAGCGTTCTAACCATGATGCTAATCTGACTTCTTTAAAAATCCTCATCCAGTCTTCAAGATAGAGAGGCAACTAAGCCAAAAAGGAGTATGAGACAGTTCACAGACCTAATTATAAGAAGCATGTCCATTTTATTGCACTGTCCAGTACCTGTTTTAGATGTACAGTGGTGCCTCGCAAGACGAAAGTAATTCGTTCCGCGAGTAGCGCTGTCTTGTGAAATTTTTGTCTTGCGAAAAGTGGTTTCCCATAGGAATGCATTGCAATGCATTCCTAGAGGAACCTCGCAAAAAGAATGAATTATTTTCATCTTGCGAGGCATCAGTCTTGCAAAGCACGGCCATAGAAGAAGCCGTCTTGCGAGGCACCACAGCGATGGCAAAAACCATTCGTCTTGCGGGTTTTCTGTCCTGCAAGGCGTTTGTCTTGCGAGGCACCACTGTAAATCATTTGGTAGCTTTGTACCAGGTCAGGTGTGGATAGAAGTGTGACCCCAACCTATTTCTTTAGGAATGTGTTGATCAATCATTGCCCATGTTCAGATATTGCCCTATACTTATTTATGACCAACACTGAAAGAGTGCTGATATATGAACCTCACCCCCTACCCCCCCCAAAAAAAACTCCACTTGACAGGAACTTTGCTTTCGTCTTATTTAATTTCCTGAAATGCTATTTTGTGTCTTCCTTTCAGTAATCTTTCTTCAAACCTTACCTATTTATCCAGGTTTTGGGACAGATAATAGAAGAGTATTTAATGTGGGCCTTCACAGCTTAGCTTGTCCCAGTGCGCTGTCATTGTCCCCTTCTGACAT